ATAGAAAATTTCAGTTTCTTGAGAAATTCACCCAAAAAGCTATCCTATGACCTCAGTAAAAGAGTTGACGATATGGCCTTTTTAAACATTTCTTTGTAAAGGAAAATACACATGAGATGGGAAATTAGTGCAGTTTTTAGTTACGGTTAAAAAGTAGTTACTTATTTGTGCTTAACCAATTCAAAACATCCAGGGATTTCGATAGCTTTTTCTGAAAGCGGCTTCCGATGATTCATAAGTAGTTGTGCCCTAAAGGGGGACGAAGGCGAAACCAAACATGAGAGACTGCTCGCTGGCGAAACAGACGGCGGTAAGAGGTTCTTAAGGCGGCGGTGTAGTGGTAGACCTCTAATAATCGGTTTTTACTGGCCCCCACGACATAGTTGTTTTTAAAAGTTTGATTTATTTATTAAAAAAGAAATGAAATTCGAGACTTGTTCATTTCATCACTTGGTAACAAACACACAGTTCGAACAAAACCGAACGCTTTCGGGAAAGACGATATCTTCAGTTCGTTTCCTATGAAAAAGCTTGAAACAATTGTGTGGTAAGTACAATCGCTTCATTAAAGAACTGAAAGAAAGTAACTCATTAATTTGCGTGTCAGTGAAAAGGACGACACTTAGGGGCGTGCGGTGGCTGTTTTCAAGACGTCGTTGAAGTGACGCTGAAGTCAAAATCATTTTGATATAGGCAGTGAACTTTAGAAATAACAGTGACACATTTTAAAGAGATCGTGCGGTCCAGTTCAGAAATCGGTTTCAATAAAGGAAAAAAATATGAATTTTTTATGTCTTGTGGCATTGCTGGAACAATCAAGTTCTTGAAGGAAAATATGCAAGATTATATCTGCCCTTATAATTAAGACTCCGGAACGAAATAAAAAAAATATTGTGACGGGGATTTAGAAGAGGAGGTGTGCACGTAATTTATTTAACTTGCTTCCTTTTAACCCGACCAATTATTTTCCATATATTTCAACAAATGACAAAATACATTTTGTCAAAAGTATAATCAGGCAGGATGACTGTACCAACAAAATTGTGATAATGACTGGAAATCTCAGTTGTAATGGTTTTTTTACGAACAGGCGAGCCAGTTGAGCAAATATTTATGGTAGTTTTATTATCATAAAGACTGATAAACTGATCAAGAAAATTTTGGTCACCCATTTTGTTTGAATTTTTGCATATTTTAAGCTTTTGTGAGTTAGGCCAGTAACTTTGTCTTTTGGAGTAATAAAAATAATATTTTACTATCCAATTTGTCTATTGGTGATTTAATCGAAAAGAGTTATAGAGCATGTAGAAAAATGAATTTTCTTTAAAATTTGCTCTTAATTTTTTTTTTTTCATCCATTCCTTTGGAGCCACTGAGGCTGTTCACTGAACTAACTCTTGACAAATGTGATATTTTTTGTTCATTTGCGTTAATCTATTCAGACAAGCTCCTCATATCCTCTTTATCCGTCAGTTTTCACCCGTGCAATAAATGTAAGAGTGAAAAATTAAAAAGTGATAACTTAATATCCCAGATTTTTTCCAAGTATCTTAAAACACGAAATGGCTGATGTGACTGGAGGTAGACTGGAACTAGTGAAAGCGGTCTAAACTGCAGGCGCAGGTTAAATGTTCAATATGGCGGCTCAACCTGAAAATGAAATTGTTTTATTTTAAAGTCAAATATGTCGTTCTTTTCACGACCTAGAAAGGCGAAATCCTCACCTTCTCACAATAAAAAGTCTCAAGGTCCTAGAGATGTTTCTCAGGAAACTTCGGTAGGTAGTTTTGATTTTGCATGGTGTAAGTTATGAATATACTTCCGTGTGAGATGCTGCAAGATGTTGTCCAATGCCTTTATAGGGTGGTGTTTTTTTGTAAACGTTGTGTCACTGATAAAGGTTTTCTGGTACCCATAGCAATAAAATTCCTTCTTAATTCCTTTTTTCGTAATTTGAAACCAGGATGTTTATTTTTCATACACGAACAACATCGATTATCTATCGGATCTCCCACAGTTTGTAGCTCCCCAAGTAGATTTGAAGAGTTAATAAAGATGTATAGAGGTGGAGCTGTCCAACACAAATTCAATTTGTATAGTTGGCAAAGATGCATTACGATGAAGCTGTCCAACACAAATTCAATTTGTAGAGTTGATAAAGATGCACAACAGTGAAGCTGTCCAACACAAATTCAATTTGTAGAGTTGATAAAGATGCATAACGGTGAAGCTGTCCAACATAAATTTAATTTGTAGACTGAGGTGATAAAGATGCATTATGATGAAGCTGTCCAACATAAATTCAATTTGTAGAGTTGATAAAGATGCATAACGGTGAAGCTGTGCAGCATAAATTTAATTTGTAGAGGTGATAAAGATGCATTACGATGAAGCTGTCTAACACAAATTCAATTTGTAGAGTTGATAAAGATGCATAATGGTTAAGCTGTCCAACACAGATTCAGTTTTTAGAGGTGATAAAGATGCATTACGATGAAGCTGTCCAACATAAATTCAATTTGTAGAGGTGATAAAGATGCATTATGATGAAGCTGTCCAACACAAATTCAATTTGTAGAGGTGATAAAGATGCATTACGATGAAGCTGTCCAAAATAAATTCAATTTGTAGAGTTGTTAAAGATGCATTATGATGAAGCTGTCCAATTCAATTTGTAGAGTTGATAAAGATGCATTACTATGAAGCTGTCCAACACAAATTCAGTTTGTAGAGTTGATAAAGATGCATCACGGTGAAGCTTTCCAACACAAATTCAATTTGTAGAGTTGATAAAGATGCATGATGGTGAAACTGTCCAACACAAATTCAATTTGTAGAGTTGGTAAAGATGCATTATGATGAAGCTGTCCAACATAAATTCAATTTGTAGAGTGGATAAAGATGCATAACGGTGAAGCGGTCCAACATAAATTTAATGTGTAGAGGTGATAAAGATGCATTACGGTGAAGCTGTCTAACACAAATTCAATTTGTAGAGTTGATAAAGATGCATAACGGTTAAGCTATCCAACACAGATTCAGTTTTTAGAGGTGATAAAGATGCATTACAATGAAGCTGTTCAACATAAATTCAATGTCGCTTGTGATACACTTGTTCTTTTGCAACTTTCCACTGTTAGTTTGCTTAACTGATTATGAAGGTTTTTTGATTCAAGATTTAGTTTTAAAAACTGTTAAATTGGAGCCCATGGTAAATATTTTGTGCTGCAGTATGGTTATTAAACCCAGTACTTTGTGTAAGCTAATTATCAGTTGATCCAAAACCAAATTCTCTGTAGTTGTGTAGGTAGACAGTAAGCAAAATTTCAAATGAGATCTTAAAGGAATTATGAAGCAGTCACGGTCACCCTTCTCTGAGTCCCAACAGCCTGTTTATATTGTCTTTTGCCTGTATTCAACACTCACCTTAAGTGGAACCACTAAAATAGAACTACAAAAATCCATGTTTTTCTATGAAATCAATGTTTGTTGTATTTTTGAGAGAGTTTTTGTACATTAACCATTTAACTCCCAGAAGTGATTAACATGAAACTTCTCCCTACAATATCCATACATTATTCAGCAAACAGGTAATGAGAACATTCAAACTTATTGGGTAGAAGCTGCTATCTTGATCTAGAGCCAAGTTCTCATAACTATTTCGCAAGGAAAAGTGTAGCAGCTAAAGGGGAGCATTAACAATCAGAACCAGTGTTGAGTGGTCAACCTGCTTTAACCCTTTAAACCCTAATAGTGACCAGCATCCAAATTCTCCTTACAGTAATACTGCAGAATCACTCATTAATATCATGAGAATAAAGAAAATGATCGCCAACCTAAGTGATTATAAAACAAATTCTCTTTGTCCAGATAAAAGGAATTGTTTAAAGAAGAGTGTGGAGAATATAGATAGTGATGTTAGGGTTAAGCGGTCACCCTGCCATTCCCTGTGGGTGACTGCTTATAAGTTTAACTGCAGTTAAAAACCTTTTAGGAGAGCTTTGCCCATGATTCCATAAGAGCTTGTTTCTCAGTCTCTGTTTTTGAGCTGTCCTGCTCCTTGCCACCCCTACTCCCTGATTATTTTATTCATGAAACCATTTTATGTTAAATTTTAATCTTAGAGAGAAGGGAATGATGGTGACAGTGCTATTAGTGGGTCGTTATTCAGTGGCATGACCTTAACAGCAGCTCCTGCTGAAAGGACAACCTCCTCTGATGAAGTCAATCTGATGGGTCATGGTGATGTTTCACTGCAAGATAAATTACCCAAAACAGTTATTGAAAATCCGCAAGATTTTGGTGCAGTTCTTGGTAAGACAGATAATTTGTGTTGCTCTGATTTTTCTTTGAGATACAAAAAATGGTCCACAAGGTGAGTGGACTACCCCTGACACACTTGGAAATCAAAACCATAAATTAGAAAGGTGTTCTTTTTTAAGTGATTAACATGCATGTAACTTCTTCCCATGATATCTGTACATTATCCAGCAAACAGGAAAGTAGAATACTCAAACTTATCAGGTAGAAGTTGTTATCTTGATTTAACACAGAATTCTTGTTACCAATATACAAGGAAATGTCTAGTAGCTTGAGGGGAGGATTAAAAATCAGATTGTGGGTCAGTGGTTTTAGAAATACACTCCTTTAACCCTTTAACTCCCAAGATCTCATTAGTAATTCTCCTTACTGTCTCCCATACAGTTCTTGGGATGTTAGTTTGGAGAATTTAGTATTGAATCAACTTATAATCTCCTAACCGATATTTTGCTTAATTCTCATCACTTAATGTCTGTTTGATATTGTATTGATATTGTATTGATATTGTATTGATATTGTATTGATATTGTATTGATATTGTATTGATATTGTAAGGAGAAATTCTGTCTTGGTCACTCATGGGAGTTAAAGGGTTAAGTGACGATCGCATAATCATTGAGAATTCAGATTGCATCAATAAAAAAATTAATTTTGGTTTCCTTCATTTTGCTACAGCAAGACCCATCGAAGCTGAGTTGTTACCCAAGCCAATGCAGCCAAAAGTTGTTCCGCAGCAGATGAACCAATTAGCTACAAAGAAGAAAAGAGCTCGGCATGCTGTGAGACCTGGATATGCCAGACAACCTGACAGTAAAGGGTAAATTGAAGTTTAATTTTATGTTTTAATGTGCTGTTAGAAGTAGTAGTAGGAGGACTAGTATTAGAATGTTAGTGGTAATGGAAGTAGCTATAGTAGTAGTAGTGTCAGCGGCAGCAACAGTAGCTAGCGCTGTAGCAATGTCAGTAGCAGTAGCACCATCAACAGCAGAAGTAGCAGCTGCAGTAACAGCAGAAGTAAAAGCAGAAGTAGCAGCAGATTGAAGTAGAAGCAGAAGTAGCAGCACAAGTAGAAGCAGAAGTAGGAGCAGAGATAGCAGCTGAAGCAGTGGCAGAAGTAGCAGCAGAAGTTGCAGCAGAAGTTGAAGCAGAAGTAGCAGCAGAAAATGAAGCAAAAGTAGCAGCAGATATAGCAGCAGAAGTAGCAGCCAAAGTAGCAGCAGAAGTTGCAGCAGAGGTAGCAGCAAAAGTTGAAGCAGAAGTTTCAGCAGAAGTAGCAACAGAAGTAGTAGCAGAAGTTGAAGCAGAAATAGCAGTAGTAGCAGTTATAGCTGTTGTGATAGATATAAGTATTAATTTTCACCTTAAAGTTATTGTTTATCCAATATTTTAAGGGAACCCAGTGAGCCAAGTGATATGATTGCTGAGGGGACAGTTGGTAAAACTGAACAGGAATCCAAGGTGGAAGAAGGTATTTTGTTTTAGCTCAGCTACAATGTTTGTTGAGCACTAGTTAATGAAATACATATCAAGGTGTTTGCAGATATTGTTAAAGTTAAAATGTAGGCCTGGCGGTCTTGACATGATTTACATACTTATTTTACATTTGAATTTCATGTATTTTTTTTTGGCAATAAATTTACAACTTGAAAGATTATTTTGAATGTAAGGACAACTCATTCCACCAGTTGAGGTTTCTCTTACCCTCTCACTCCTATGAGTGACCAAGACAGAATTTCTCCTTACAGTATCAATACAATATCAAGCAGACAAGGGGTGAGAATAGAGAAAAATATCAACAGGGGAATTATTAGTTGATCCAATGCCAAATTCTCCAAACCAGTATCATGAAGATTGTATGGTAGACAGTAAGGAGAATTTCGAATGAAATCTAAGGAGTGAAAAAGTTAAGTGTCCTTAACAGTTTTTTTAATTAATTGCAAAGTCTTAGGTAGAGAAAGGCACTTTGAGTATTCAGAATCAAAGTAAGTCGGCTCGCCCTTGAACACTTACTTATTGTACCACAGCCCAGCATTCAGGTTACCTTATCTCCCCTTCCTTGATGGATATGCTTGTTGCTCGTTAGATCAGACAAGAGCAGCAGAAGGAGTCACAAAACTTGGCGAAGAGAGTGGTGAGCCTTCCACACCCTTGTATTCCATTGGAACCCCATCATCTTCAGATGAAAATTTGTTTGAAGAGATGAAGATCAATATCACTGAAGGAAATGTTACAGAAACTCCCAGCAGAGAATCCTTAAAAGACTTAGACTTGAATACATCAACTCCACCCCAGGGTGACAAAATTATTGTTGATGAATTTAATCCAATTGATGCTGTAAGTGACCACTCGGAAACTGCGTCTAAATCTTCTTGCATGGAGGTACAAGACAAAACCTTAGAGGTGTCAAACAACACAAAGAGTTTGGAAGAAGATGAAAGTATTTTTGAAAGTGGGAAATATTTGGATTCAGATGAAGATCTTTCTAAGGCATCTGGCAGAAGAATAGATGAAGGCTTTGCTGGGGAAACCTCTCTAAACAGTGCTGTGGAAAGTGAAATACTAACTTTACATTTTACTCCTGGGTCAAATGAACAAGTTAAACAAAATGTGGAGGTAGAATTTAAAGAAGAAAGACTCGTTATGGATCAGAAAAAGAGTGATCTTAAAGAACCTTCGAAGAAGCTAAACAATGTGTTGACTCACTTGAAACTTCAACTTACAAGTCTAAGGTATTATGTGAAGTTCTGGGTTATTATGTATGGGTGGTATCTAGATAGGATATGTGGAAACAGCTTAGTGTGAACCTGTGCAAGCAATGATGTTTGACTTGATCCTAGATGCACTGCTACCATTTGTATTATTAGCAAACTCAGAAAAAAATATGGGGTACTTTACTTTTGTCTCTTATTCCAGAGTTATGAAAGAGCCACTGTATAGTTTTTAACCCGTTTCACCCCAACAGTAGTATGAATATTCTCCCTACTGTTCTCTATACATTTCCTAAGGTGCTGACAAGGAGAATTTGTTTAACAATCACAAGTTTTATTTTTTGGTTGTCAATTCCTTTATTCTCCAGACCTCAATGTGTGATTCAGGGCTGATATTGTTTGGAGAAATTAGAAACTGGTCACTCTTTGTGGTCAAAGGGGTAATTACTTCTCATGAGTGACCAAGAAGTAATTTCTCCAAACAATATCAATACAATATCAAGCAGACTGGTGATGATAATAGAGAAAAACATCAACTAGGAAATTATTAATTGATGTAAAACCAAATTCCCTGAACTAAAAACTGCAAGAAATTTGTAGAAAACAGCAAGGTGAATAACTACAGAAAACTTGAAGATGAAAAGGTTTCATGGTACCATGAAAAATTGGATTAAATATTTATGAGGAGTTTTATCTTATGGAAAGATATACTCAGTGCAAGCTTTTGAGTAGGAGATTAGCGAGTCTAAAAAACCTCTCATATCCTTTTTTTTCGTGTTTAGTAAAGACAAATGGTGCCTAAAAAGCCTTGAGGAAGAGTTGTTAAAGATTTACACAGAGTTGTGCAATGTGGAGAATGAAAAAGAAGAAGAATTCAAACGACTTCAGATGGAAGAAAGCCAGGCCTTAGCCTGTGACAATTATGACCTGGCAGAAGAGATCAGTAACAGAATGGAACAACTCAAGCAAGATTTGGAATTTGCAAGGTATAGGCTACCAGCTCGAGATGATAAGGTAAGGAAAAAAGGTTACTTCAAATACTTTGGCTTTTTCAATCCCTCCTCATTCAAACTTCCAGTAATTATGATATAGCAGACTTTGCTGTTTGCCAGAACCAGAAATCAGTTTCTGTAGCAGATTTGAAAGTGTTGTGTGAACCTTCCACTCTTCACTGTTCTCTGTCCCTCCTCTCTCTCCCTTCCCATCCTTTCCCTTACCCTCCCCTCCCTCCTT